TACTCTTTTTTGGGATTCTTTTGCATTCTTTTCTGGGATTGTTTTCCATCCTTTGAGCTTCAGTCTATGAATTTCTTTTTGAGTTAAGTATGTTTTTTTTTTTTTAATATTGTTGTTTCTTGATCCATTTCTGCCACTCTGTTTTATTGGTGAATTGAGGTTATCTACATTGATGGTTGTAACTAATGTGTATTTGCTTATCTTTGGCATGTTATTTTTCTGCTCTTGGTTCCCTGCTTTCCCTCTTCTGTTTAATTGCTTGCCCTGCTTACTGGTTTGTTTTCGTTGTTGTTTTTGGAATTGTGGTCATTTTTATGTCTGTATCTTTCAATATTCTTTCCAGGGTTTGTGTAGTGGTCATGAATTTCTTCAGTTGTTCTTTGCCATGAAAGCATCTTATTTCTCCATTAATTTTGAAAGATATTTTACAGCATGCCTCAATCTGGGTTGGAAATTATTTTCATTTAGGACCTGAAGTACTTCATGCCATACTCTTCTTGACTTGATGGTTCATATTGAGAAATCTGCTTTGATTTTGATAGTTTTTGCTTTGTAAGTGATCTGTTTCTTTTCTCTCTTGTTAATATTCAGTTCTTTTGCTGAATTTCTGGGCTCTTCATTATATAGTTGAGTATAGATTTATTTTGGTTATGGCTGTCTCAAGTTCATATGCCTCATTTATCTGCATGTTAGATTCTGTTCCCAGGTTTGGGAAATTTTCTGCTATTACTTCTGAAAATAGTATTTGTATGTCTGCTTTTTCATTGAACCTGTCAGTCTTATTTTTCTCTGGATAGTCTTGCAGCTGTTGAATTGTTATTTCTTTTTCCCTTATTATTTTTAAGAGATTTTCCTTTTTTGATCACTAGCTTTCAATGGAATTTTTAATTTCTTGGATATATTTTATCTGTTTCATGCATTCTGTTTTGTTCCTATATTGTTCATTCAAGGTTTCCATCATTTTCCTATATTCCTCTATTTTTCTTTTTAAATATATGTCTACCCTAAATTTGCTGAGCAGTTCCTTCATTATGGTCATTTTTTTTTTTTTTTCCTGAGAAATATTTTCTGATCCAATTTCCTGGATAGCCTTATGGATTTGTTTCTTTTCTTTGGTTGTTATCGTTTCAGAAATTTTGGCTGTGTGTCTTGCATTTGCCTCTTTCTTGATGTCTCTTGGACTTACTTTGGGTAGACTGTGTGTATGAGATTGCATTTTGCTTCAACATTGTGTCATTTTCTATTTCAAACTTTTTTTATTTTGTTTTCTGTGTTGATCCTTGTAAATTTTTATAATAGGTAGCTATATCATTAGTATCAGATCCTCTCTAGGAGAAGTCTGTTCTTCAGGGATGTCTTCTGTGTGTAGGTGGGTCTTGTTTGTGTGTGTCCCAAGATCATATCTTCTGGTTTGACTATTGTCTTCTTTGGAAGTCCTGTAATATCTTCCCAATTAAAAGTAGGATATTGGTTAGGCCTTTGGTTTTTGGCTGCGATTAGTTTGTTACCCAGTATTGTTATGGAAAGGCGAAGAGTTGATTACAACAGATATGACATCCTAAGTACTTTGGTACTTTCTGCCCTGCTTTGGGTCTGCTCTGCTAATCCTGCCTATCCGTTGTGTGTACCCTAGGCAGGGTCCTACTGTGTAGCTTCAATTCCCCCAGTTGCCTGGTCCTACTCATGTGGTGGGGAGGAGCCATTTACCTAGATTGGTCCAGCCAGACTGGTTTCTGGTTTCGTGATATGGTGGTGAGGAGAAGCCGGTCACCTGGATTATTCTCTGGCCAGTTGCCAGGCCCGCCTGCTGATTGGTGTTTTGCTATTTCAGATTTTTCAATTCTTTGATTTATTGGACTTAATCTAAATTATAAATACCTTTCTGAAGCCCCTTGTTTTGGTAAATAAAATACAAATTCAATATTGTTTGGTCCAGATGGTGCATAAATATTTTATAGTAATGTTATTTTTCTTTCTTGATTACAGGATAGCTTGTTAGATGTTGTTCAACTGTCTGTACCACCCGCAGAATTATTATGATCACTGACCACTGTTAGAGTTTTTTTAGTTTCATCTTTCAAGTTCTATCATTTCTGTAGGAAGAATAGTTGACAATAAGGAGTTGTCTTTTTGTCTCTCCATCTCATACCAGACTTTTCCTCTCAGATATGGTAATGTTTCTCCCTTTCGCAGTTTCCTCTTTCGCAGATCCTTGTTGGTGCTTTCAGTTCAGTCTCACTCTCCCAAATGTGTCCATTTCAATTGTGAAAGAACATCACTGAGTTCTGGAGAAGTCTAAAAATTATATCTAATGTACTTATGATATGTTTTTATAGATTGTAGCACAAAATATAGGTTATTTTTCAGAAATAAACAAATTAGTAAAAGAAAATAAGCAGAACTTACTAGATTTCATTGGAAACAAACATCAAAGGCAACATTCTAAATAAAAAGTATGCGAAAGATAGGTGATGTGAAACAGACATATGCATGCATCTCATGTGAACAGAATCTGCTGGTTGGAAGGACATCTGCCCCACTGTGCTGGGGTAAACTGTTAAGTGGTTATTAGCTTTTAATTTCAGTTTAGCTGTTCGCTCCCTGTAGCAATTCCTATAAGGTGAGTCTAGTCAGTGAAATGAGTACAGTCTTTTCTGAGCTGCATGCTTTCGGCTGAAAAAAATCTGCTGGTAGTCAGCCATGCAAAGTAGCACATGTCTGTAATCCCAGCACTCTGGAAGGCTGAGGCAGGACTCAACTACAAACAGGCACGGGCAATTTATCAACCTTGTGAGACTGTGTCTCAAAATAAAATCTGGTGGGGGATATAGCTTGGTGCAGAGGCCCTGAGTTCAATTCCTACTATCACAAAAAGGAAAAAAAAAGTGATAATTATATAGACTTTTGTGTGTGTGATGCAGCTCTTACCTTTTGTTTCGGTTAGAATTTTGTCTTTGAGTTTTGGTAGTGGGTAATTGTTTGTCAGGGTGTGGTTGAATTTGATTGATCTCTGCCCTTCCTGTACTTGAGTATTGGCATTTTAGGGAAGATTCAGACATTTTCAACTATTAAATGTACTTTCTGACTCTTTTACTATAACTCACAATGAGAATGCTTGAAGTGTCCCAGAATTCCTAGATATTGTCTTCTTATTTACAGGTGCATATCCAGTGTTGTACAGCTCACTAATTTTTTTTTTAAATTATTTTAGTTGTTTAAGACCAAGTCTGATTGTGTAGTTAAGGCCAGTCTTGAACTTACTATGTAGTCCAGGCTGGCCTCAAACTTGTGGCAATTCTCCTGCCTCAGCCTCCCAAGTGCTGCGATTATAGGCATGTACCGCCATGCTCAGCAAGTCATACTTTCAAAACTTATATGATTTTAATTGGAATTCTTAAGTCATTATACATTTTTATTAATTATTGTAGATTATCTTTTTTGTCTCACCTTTTATTTGTACTTGTGGTGATCCTTGAATATTAAAGGACATGTTACTGTATTTGGAATTCAACCATAAATACTAATTATCCTTACATGTATGTATATATATAATCTATATTATATATTACATATATGTTGCATGTATAGAGACATACCTATATGTGAAGAACATGAATTATAGATGTATGATATGTGCAGTTATCACATTACTCCTATTTATATACACACATACATGTCCATCCATATCTGTGTAGTAGGATTTTTCTTTTTTTTTTGGTATCAGGGATCGAACTCATGACCATGTGCTTGCATGGTAGGTCCTTATGCTGCTGAGCTAAATCTCTGGCTCATAGTACGATAAATACCATGGATTCCTTTGCATTTAAGTAATTTTTGCCTTTATTTTCCAAGCTTTGAAAAAAAATTTCTTTTGATAGGAGCAGAGCCAAGAGTCAAACTCAGGACCTCTCATTTACCAGGCAGGCACTGCACACTGAGCCCTGAAGACATTTTAATGATGTTTGATAAGAAACAGTGCAGATGTTGTTTAGCTATAAATAGCATGTGATGTTTTATATTTGCCTTTTTGAATGCCAAGGTCACACTATTTCAAGATTTTGATACCAAAATGTGATTTCTTTTTCCATTTTAATCCAAAGTAAAATGATTATAGTCACTTATTTTCCTAATACTTCTTGTAGAAAGAGTAAATTAAGAAATATAAAGAAATTCCATTGATTAATAAAATATTTTAATGTAATTGAGAAGTATCCTATTGTCTCTTGACCGCCAAATACCTCATTTACCCTTTTAGGGTAACTATAGTTAGTAGTTTTCTAAGTAGCCTTAAAGAAATGTTCTAGGGGCTGGGGATTTAGCTCAGCGGCTTAAGTGCCTGCCTTGCAAGCAGGCAGTCGTGAGTTCAATCCCTGGTACCAATGAAAAGGAAAAAGACAAAAAAAAAAAAAAAAAAAAAAAAAAGAAATGTTCTATAACAAACATTTATGAGATACTCTGAATGGCTTATATATATTATTTATCACATACATTGAGAAAAAGTAGATAGTTTGATTTCTATTAAAAAATAAATGTATTTTCTTGAAGTCTTCTAGTTGTTCTAGTGGGTACAGATTTGGAATAAAACTTATTTAGTGTAATTTATTAACAGATTGTCTGTTAAGATCTTAAAAATGCTAGAAAATTTTATTTTATGCTGAACATAGTGGGTTATCTTTGGGGATGAGATTATGAGTGCTGCATGGGATGGAGTGATACCAGAGGGTGATAGTTTCTTAATTCTGTAACACTGTTTGAACTTTTCCTTTTTTAAAGCCATACACCTATTCTGCTTTTACTAAAATTCTGATGGAAAATGTTTCGAAAATATGTAGTGGTAGGCCACCCCATCTGGGACACTTCTTGGAAATCTAGGAGCTATTCTCCTTCTTATTTCCAGTAAAAATTCTTCTAATTTCCTCCTTTGAACAAAAATACGTAGTGACATAAATGTCCTTAGAGCAAGCTGACCGTGTGTTTGCTGTTGTTAATTTTGGTTTTAGGCTTGTGTGGATGTAAGAGCCAGTTCAGTGTTTTGGCAGCAGATGGAGTTTGCAGACATCCTCTATGGTCACCCCAAGTTGCCAGAGTGGTTATCTACACACCCTTCTCATGGAAACCGAGCTGAGCACTTGGATAGACTTATACCACAGGTGAGCTAACACTGTACAGCAGGGAATCACTTTACTGTATCATTTACTGTTAATGCTTTTCTTTCTTTTGCATAGCACAAGGGTTGTAACATGTCAGCTATTTTGATTAGTGTAACTATGAAACATCAGTTTTGAAAGTATTGGGCTAAAAAGTAAAATCCTGCTTGTCCATGTGTATAAAAAATAAGTTGCTTTGTACAGGTGACTTTTTCTCATGGTAAAGATCTCACCCTTTAATTTTAACTGAACCAATAAAAGTTTCATCCAGGGCATATTGTTGTTTTCAATTTATTGGTCATAATTTAGTCTTTTCCTAGTGATACAAGCTTTTTGTTAAAAACAAATAAAAAAAATAATGAGTTGTCTAGAAGTTTGGGGTCAAATGGGCATTGATTTCAGTCATTTTCTTTTGTTTTTTAAAATTTTTAAAATTTTACTTTAAAGAGAATAAAACACAGAAAAGCAAACCAAAGCAAAACAGACCAAAGTAGAGCAGAGTAAAACAATGCAAATAACACAGGATTTCAGAAAAATACAGCAAGAAATCAGCAGTGACTACCAGAATGTCTCCTGTTTTCTTAAAAATAGTTGTCCTTACCTTCACACACAATAAATTAATACACATAAAAATAGTTATAAAAGCAATCAAAACACAAGAATGAGAGCCTTAAGGGCTTTCAAGACCAGACACTAGGAAATCAGTAACAGCTACCATAATGTCTTTTGTTTTCTTCAAAATAGCTGTCCATATCTTCATACATATTGGAATTAAATTCTGAAAACAGACCAAAACCAATCAAAATCAAGAATAAAAGCATTATTGGCTTTTGAATCAAAATGATAGGAAATTATCAGTGGCTACCATGGTGTCTTGTTTTTTTCAATGTAGTTGTTCATACTATTATATATACTAAAATCAGTTCTTGTAAACTCTTTGGGTGAAGTTCTAGGCATAAATAAGCATATACTGGTACATCTATCCTTTCTGTATTAGAGGAAAAAAAACCTAAACAACAAATAAATAACTGTATCTAGGAGCCCAAAATAATAACTGTAGACTGTCAAAATAAGGTGGTAGAAACATAACAATTTTTATTGTTTTGCATAGTTATCTTTATAAGTCTTATTTGAATTACCAGATGGAATTATGCAAAATTGATCTAATCCCATGAGTGTTAACTGTTTTGTTTCAAGAACTAATAGAATTATTAGTACAATCATCTTAGTAATCTTAAGTGTATATATACAAATTTATATCTTACTTTGTTTCTCTTTTCCCCTGAGTTATTTTTTCCCCTTTGAGCCGTTTCTTCCCCTAACACCCTATTTATGAAGATTTTGTATTTTACTTACTCTTTCAGTTTCTTACACTAGGAATACAATACAGAATTTACACATACGAGTTTGATTTATTTCACTTACAAGTGTGGTCTCAAGTTGCATCCATTGACTTATAAAAGCCTCAGAGTGGTCTTTCATTATAGATGAGTAGTATTCCATTGTATAAAAATACCACATCTTTTTTATTCAATCCTCAGTTGATGGGCATTTGGGTTGTTTCCAAGATCTAGCTATTACAAATTGTGCTGCTATAAACATGGGTATACATATATCACTGTGATACAATGTTTTCAGTTCTTCTGGGAATATTCCCAAAAGTGGAATAGCTGGGTCAAAACAGAACCTCCGAGGAACTTCTGAGGAACCTCCACACTGATTTCCACAGTGGTTGCACCACTCTACACTACCACCAACAGTGCAGGAGAGTTCCTTTTCCCCATAGTATCTCCAGCATTTGTTATTGGTGATTTTCTTGATCCTGGCCATTCTTTCTGGAGTGAGATGGAATCTCAGTGTAGTTTTAATTTGCATTTTAATGACCAATGATGTTCAACATTTTTTCATGTATTCATCTGCCATTTGTATCCTCATCTGAGAAGTGTGTATTCATTTCAGATGCCCATTTTTGGATTGGGTCTTTACATTTTGGGGGCCCGTTTTTTTTTTTTTTTTTATTCTTTATATGTTCTAAATAGAAGTCCTTTGTCTGAGGGACAGTTGACTAAGATTTTTTCCCAATTTGTGGGTTTTCTTTCCACTCTGTTGGAGATTTCTTTTGACATGCAAAAACTTTTTAATACAATGAGATCCCAGTTGTTGATTTTGGGAAGTATTTCCCATGCAGTTTGATTTCCATTCATGAATTCTCTTCTCACCCCTATGTCTTCAATATTTTTACCTACTTTGTCTTCCAGTAGATTTAGTGTTGACTTTAGTTTAGTGCATGGAGATAGACATGGATCTAGTTTTAGTTTTTGGCATTATGGAAAGCCAGTTTTTGTAGCACCACTTATTAAAGAGGCTATCTTTCTTCCAGTGAACATGTTTGACCCCTTTGTCAAAGATAAGGTGGCTGAGTGTGTTTGTAGTTGTATTATATCTTCTAATTTATTCCTTTGATCTTCAGATGTTTTTATTCTAGTACCATGCTGATTTTATCACAGTAGCTTAGTAGTATAATTTCAAGTAAGATATTATGATGCGTCCTGCCTTGCCTTTGTTGCCCAGAATTGCCTTTGCTATTCTAGGTTTCTTCTGGTTCCAGATAAATTTTAGGAATTATTTCTCTGGGTCTGTTAAGCATGTTAATGGTATTTTAATTGGAATTGCATTAAATCTGTATAACAATTTTGGGAGAAAGGCCATTTTCACAATGTTTGTTCCTCCTATCCATGAACAAGGGATGTCTTTCTGTTTTCTGAGATCTTCTTTGATTTCTTTTTCAAAGTGCTGAAATTTTCACTGAATAGATCTTTTCCTTTGTTGGATTGATTCTCAAGTATTACATTTTTTTTGGATGCTACTGTGAAAGGTGTGGTTTTCTTATTTCCCTCTCAGTGAGTTTGTTGTTTGTATACAAGAATGCTATTGATTTTTGAGTGTTGACTTTGTATCCAGCTACATTACTGAATTTGATTATTACATCTAGAAGTCTTTCAATGGGGTTTTGGAGTCTTCTATGTAGAGTATCATATCATCTGTAAATAATGACAGTCTAACCTCTTTCCTGTTGTTATTCCTTTTATTTCTCTGTCTTGTCTAATTGCTCTGGCTAATATTTCTAACACTATATTGAATAGGAGTGGTGATAGTGGACAGCCTTCTCTTGTTCCTTATCTTAGAGTGAAAACTTTCAGTTTTTGACCATTTAATATGATGCTGGTTGTTGGTTTGTCATAGATAGCTTTTCAGATTGAAGTAAAGTCCATCTATTCCAACTTTCTGTGGGATTCTTATCATGAATGAGTGTTGGACCTTACCAAAAGCTTTTTCTGCATCTATTGAGATGATATGTGATTCTTATCTTTGGCTCTATTGATATGACGTATTATGCTTAGCTTCTTGATTTGCATATGCTGAACCATCCCTGCATTCCTGGGATGAATCCCAATTGGTCATTGTGTATGATCTTGTTGATGATTGGTTGCATTCTGTTTGCTGGTATTTTCAGTTATTTTCTTAGGGAAAAAAACTGATAAAGGCCTGTTTCATGGCTTGTGAGTAGCTGACTTCTATTTTTTAGTTTTATTTTTTTATTTAAAGAGAAAAACAAAAAAAAATACATGGAGGAAAAAAAGGGTAGAAATAATACAGAATTACAGAAAGATAAACAGTAAAAAAATCACCAGTTGAAGTTACATATTGCCATCTTAGAAATAGTTGTTCAGGTTACAAAACTAAAGTATGTAAAGTGACATTCAAATAGTGACACTGCCAACAGTTCTGCTCAGTGATCTAACAAAAACTTAATAATATGGTTATCAGTCCTACACACTTGTTTTTTATCTTAAAGAGGATAAGATTAAACATATCAAAACAGAACAAAACAGTTCAAAAAGAAACAATTTAAAGAAATACAGATTTCAAAGCAAGTCCACTGGAGATCTTCACTATTTATCTAATTGTCTCTAGTTTCTTCCAAATAGTTGTCCCCATCTTCACACACATTAAATACATACTGCATATTATAGAACTAATCAAATCATTACAGGATGATGAAGGCTTTTTAGGTCTTCAAGCTCTGACATTGGGGAAGATAATAATAACTACCATAGGGTCTCTCAGTCTCTTCGTAGTAGCTGTCCTTATCTTTACATATGCTGAAATTGAACTTAAGAGACTAGACAAATATCACTCTGAACAGTGAATAATAGTATTGCTAGATTTTATATCATAATGCTACAGAATTAGCATTGGGTTTCTTAGTGTCTCTTCTTCAGAATATCTGTTCATTACATCTTGCATTATATAATCTGTTCCTGTAAATAGTTTAAAAAAATCTTCCCATGTGTGAATTTCTACATGTATATCTATCCTCTCTGTATTGTAGGGATAAACAAATCATAACAAGACAGCAAAACAAATTCCTAGAAAAACATGCAATGAAAAAGACACATAAAACCATAATATTAGGTGATCTACCGTAGTTACTTTCTCTTGTTATTTTCAATAGACTTGTCCACATCATCAGGCTTAATATAGTTAACATAGTATTGCATAGCTATTTTTATAAAAACACAACTTTGGGGGCTGGAGATTTAGCTCAGCAGCATAAGCGCCTGCTTTGGAAGCAGGCAGTCGTGAGTTCGATCCCTGATACCGATTTTAAAAAAAAACACTACTTTGAAAACATTGTAGGACTTGACAGCTGTTAATAATCAAAACTAGTATGGATATCTTTTACATCTTGTCATCTTCAGAGTAGTTGTCTCTACTTTTAGAGTTGATACTGTCAAGCATACCAAATTCAAATAAAATCAGCCAAGGCAAAAACAGCGGTCTAACAAATCAGATTCAAATAAGATCAGTCTAATACAGGGTTTCAGTTTAAGTTAATAGGAAATTAAGGATAGTTACCATGGTATAACCTGCTATTTTTGGGTCAGATGTCTTCAAATCTGATATGAGTGGACAGACTGGAACAAAATAAATTCAAACTA